TACCATGTTATACCTATTATACTATCTTGTACTATTATATATATATATATATATATAAATATAAGTGAAGCATATTAGTAATTTAAGGTTACATTTGAGTTAGTAGGGTTGATGTTAGCCTAATAAGTTGTTACTATGTAACTATAGATATAAAATAAACCTCCCATAAGTTGCTATAAGTGGCAAATAGGCTAGTCTATTGTTGTTTAACACAACACTAGTAGATCTTTCCTACACATGATTATTATTAGATCAATTAAAAATGTAAGGATTAATCTATTAGGTCAAGTAGTCATTATTATGCTCTTTCATTAATTTTTCTTAGGCTGGATTGAAAGTAGTGTGAATGCAAGCTTGAGATTTAGTTGAAGTTGAGTTCAAAAATAAAATCATCAAGGACAGAGGATTAACATGTAAATCATCTTCTCTCCTTCGAGTACATGATTTATAATGAGATGTAATCTCATTTTTTGTGTTCACATTATCTGATTAAGAGTCTCTATTTCAATACATGTTGGTTATACTAGTCTTATGACTGATGTGCTATAGAATGAATAGCAATGAAGCAATAAACCCTTTTTGTTAGGCTTATCATTGGAAGACTTGTATTATAATAGGAAAAAAGAAAATATAATAAATAAATAAAATGAAATATGATGTTATAGTGAGAAAACACAATAAATACTTTCTTTTGTTATATTATGCTTGGTGGCAACTTATACTTTACATTTGGGTTAGAATTTATAAAAGAGGTTATGAATTCCTGCTGATTTTGACTTTCTTAGTAATCTTATGGCTTAGTTGAGGATAGTGATGTCTAGCTTGATTGTTTATGCTTAAGATGTTAGTATATATACTATTGATATGTTTATTGTACTTATACAAGTCTAACTAATGGTTTTCAATTTAGTTTTGATTGAGTGTTAATTATTCATAGTTAGCATCTTTAGTCAAGTTTAGAACTATTGGATAAATATATTGGTGGGCTTATTGTTCTTAGATTGAATTTAAAAAGTTATTTAGTCTGTACTTATTTTTATTTCTATATGTTATACTTGGACTTGTTAGACAAGTATATAGCTCAATTATGTGAATAATAAGCATGGTGGTTAGGTCTTATTGAAGAGTGATTGTTAGTTGTTTTACACTTAGTAATTATTTGTAACTTAGTTGTAATCAAATTTGATAATATTCACACTTTAATAAGTATATCACTATTAAATCATCATAGAGTAAAACAACAATCCAGGGGTATCAGAAATTATTTGTTACCATGATGGTAAAAAATTGGTACTGCTAAGCCCTTTATCTCTCTATTTTAAAAACTAGTCATCATGTGTGCACTTAAAACAAAAGGGCACAAAGGAAATTCTAAGTTATTATTGAACCAATCATATTTAGCCTGATGATAAGAAATTTTTGTATTAGCTTGTATATACTAGTGTTTGGAACACAACTTGAGTCAGTCCTCTAAAATTAACTAGATAATAATTTATCATATACTTCTTACTATTGGGAACCTAAGGTTGAATACATGGCAGCAAGTTTTACTGCTAGAGAAATCGTCTAGCTGTGAAGAATTCTCTACAATCTAAAATAGCAATAGATAAAACTAATACCATTGTTTGTGATAATTAGAGCACCATTTACATGTAAAAAATCCAACGTTTCATATCTAGACAAAACACTTTGACATTTATAAAATGTCAAGGAAATCTAGATAGCTTCATTACCAAAATCAGTTTTTGAGAGCAGAAATCAAAACCATCAGTTTGATAGTAGTGTAAATTAAAATTTTAAACAAAAATTGTTTAGAAACTAAATTGAAACCATAAAAACTAATAAACCTTAGAATCTAAATTATTTAAAAAGAATAAAGAAGAAAATACTAAAAGCCCCCAAGAAAAACCATGAAAACCATGAAATTTTGAATTAGATAAAAATACTATCATTACCTTGAAATGTGGATTTTAATAAGGATAAATATTTTATTTAAACTTTAATTTAAAACATTATTGTGATTATATGTCTTTGTATCCCATACTACATCATGTGGTGCAATTGATTTATATATTACAAAATTACAGTAATTTTGCATAATAGCATAAGTAAAAATAAAACAATCTGAACAATAATATTGTATTGACCATAAAGCTTTTTTATTTTCAGTATAAATTACAGAATTTCCATCAATTTGAGTTTTCCAATAACAAAACTTAAAATAATCTTCAGAGTTACTGGATTGCCATAAACGATATTTTCCTGAATAAAGTGAAGCTCTACAATTTGATTCAATGTAAAAAATATTTTTACCATTTGCAGAGATCAACATTTGATCTTTATAAAGTATATTATTTTCAAAAGCGGCATTTAAAGCATTTTTTGTTGTATCACAACCCATATATTCAGTGTAATTCATATAGAAATTAGTAATAGATGTTGTTTGACTGTTATTAAACCATAACAGAAAATTATATTGAAGTGTATATTTATCACCTATAATTTTACAAGACTTTGAACCTGTTTGAATCATAATTTTTTTATATAAATTTATTTTACTTCCAAAATTTCTTTTTAACAATTGACCAACAACACTATTACTCTCAGGTGAACATATTGATGGTTTACGTTGAATTTCTACTGCAACTGCTCCTCTTTGAAAGTCAACATAAGTGAAATTATTAAAATCTGGTGGATAATCACCATATGTCTCAATTTTCTTAATAAGATATTGAAAACCATGTTCTATAATATACTTCATCTCATTTTCAGTAAAAGTATTATTTTCACCCCATTCAACATATCCTATACAATAAATAATATTAATAGTTAGACTGAAGAAGAAAAGAAAAGAAAATATTCTAGCCATAAAATATATTTTGCACAAATTATTTAATATTTAAAAGTGGGTTAAGATATAGTTATCGATGGGAATACCAAGAAATACTCCCTATTGTTAAAATATTTTATTTGCAATAATAAAGGACGAAACATTTGTCCATCCTTGAAATGATGGAACTTCATTGTGGTCATAGGTTCAATAGTTAGCTGCTAGATATATCACACATGACAAGTCATGACATCATGATGTTGTGACTTATCATAAAAATTTGGTGACCTTGATGATCATAATATGAAATAGAGATGGTTTTATTCCAAGATTTGTAGGTAGGTCATATTGTCAAACATATGCTATATATCACCAGTTCTATAAGTCATCCCAAAATCAAAATTATCACCTAGTGCTAAGACTATCCTTGCCTTCTTGTAGCTAGAAAAGAACTACAGAATATTAAGCCATAAAAACATTATGAGAGGATGATACTATAGCCTGATGCTATAAAACGGGATTCCCTACACATAAAAAGAACAAGAATGCTAAAAAGCTTGTAAAAATTGTTGTAAATAAAAATCTTATCAATGATATAAGTGTAAAAATTGCAACATACTATGTGCCCCTAGAGTTGAAGTTTGGTTGGGATTTCAACATTGGTGCAATCACTATAAAATTTTATATAGATGACCTATTTATCACTATATTAAGCTTCAATTAAATAGATCTATGCATTATGAGCCACCAAGAAGTGGATAAAGTTTTGTAGAAGCTGAGCAAAAAGACCTAACTAACAAAGCAACATCACTAATCACTAATGTTGATTTAGCTTGCTGGAACACTTAGAAGACACTCGATTTCCCATAGAGGCACAAAAATGCACTATAGCCTTGAATGGTTGTCCATAAGACAACACCTTCAATTCAATGCACTACATGAGTTACAACAAAACTCTTCAACTACGTCATAGGTATAAATTGGGTTTGCTTAATATTCTGTAATTCTTGCCTTTTGGTCGCTCTTTCTAGCTGCAGAAAGGCAGGGATAGTCTTAGCACTAGGTGACAATCTATTTTAGGCTAACATATAGGCCTAAAATCACAAATATTAGCTTTAGTAGTCATCCTCGAACTTCAAATCTTGCATCTTAACTATATTTGCTTAATTCCAATCCTCTTGGCTTGGCCACCTTTTCCCTTTATTACAATCTTTATATCACTTTTGTTGTTCCATGATTTTTCAAGTAATAGTGTAAGCAACTAAAGAAAACTACTATGTAGACTTTAACAAGGGAGCTGTTGAAATGAAAATTTAATGAATTAATTTACTACCATCAATATGTTCACAAGTAAATTATACTATTCTTGGCTTAACATTAAGAAAATAATTTAAATATAGAATAAATACTTATAAAGAAACTTATGACTAAAACATGTTCAAAGTCTTGTAATATTGTGGATGAAATTATAATTCAATATAAGTTTTTTATAGTTCAGTAACAATCAAATAGTAATTTTAACATATATATTTATAAAATGCCACTACATAAATGTTATATTGCAAAAAATAATTCATATACTGGTTTTAATAATGATATAGTTTTTAAGGAATAAGTGCAGATTTATTTGAATGAGTAAAAAATATTTTTTATTGAATAAAATTGGAAACCTTCTCTTTATTCCGGTATAAATCGTTTATGGCAATCTTATAATTCTAAAAATTAATTTGAGTTATGTTATTGGAAAATTCAACTTTAAGAAAATTCTGTATTATATTCTGAAAATAAAATCAATAGAATACTATTGTGTAAATTGTTTTATTTTCACATATTGTATTATGGAGAATGATTTTAACTTTATAATACTATTAAAGATACAAAAAGTAATAATCATAAAAAATGTTTAAAGTAGTACTTAAGAAAAAATATTCTTGCATTTTGGTTTCTTTAAGAAACCTGAAGAATATCCAAATATATTCTATAGGATAATGATCATTTGTAATCAATTTTTATTGTTAATAATATGACTTATAAAACCTTTTAAAAAACTAAACATACAAAAACTATATTCATGTGAAAAGGCTTCTTTTATATCGAAGAGTTTTGGAAAACATATAAACTCAAGCATACTCCTTGTCACATAGCCTCTCGAATCGCCTGCGAAATCGGATCTATCCCATGATGAATGAATGATTTATTCCTTCCTCCAGCGACAGACAGACAGTCTGGAATTTGTGCTGGAATCGTACCACAGTTCTCTACAGGGTACGAGTTTCGCTCCTATGCAGAGTTCACGTATTGTGATCGATGCCACAGGACCTGGAGGATCCACAGGCTGCTGCGTAGTAGTATCGAGCAAGCCGCGTGCAGCTTGTATAGAAACATGAGAAGAGTCTTTTCCTTGTTCGTCCCAGGAGCCCACACCGCCTCTAAGCCCCCATAGTGCGGAAGCACAACTTACAGTGCCGAGGCGAGCTAAAACGCGTCCCAGGAAGGACCATTGAGCTAGAGCTACTTCAAGTCATTCTAACAAAGCAAGTGACTGTCACAGGAAAGGGAAACTCCGCAACTGCGTCCCAAACCAGCCTCCTGTTTGCCACGTCTATCTTCCCTCTCAAAATCTCAGAGTGTTTCAAACTTCCACTCGAATAAACCATCCTAGAGATTGCATAAATCGCGCCACGGATCACCAGCACTTTAAACCTGTCCGTCCTGGGCCACTTCTCGATCGCCACCCAAGCCTCTTGCACTGCTGAGTTATACCAGCGCATGGCCTCCCCTCCGTAGGAGATGACGTTCGTTCCCACCTCCATTGCAGGCTCAAAGCAATCACCGGAGACCACCTTCGTGGTCCGGAACTCTGGCTTCCCTGTTATCTGCTCTTGCGATTTCCACGCATTGGAGGCAGCCTCGTAGCGCATAAGTTCCATCGTTTTATCGTGAAAACCATACAAGATCTCGTCTCCAGCGGGCGAGAGCACCACCCCAGCGCCCGAGACAAACCATTTTTCAATGGTGTCGCAGGTTCCCGTCTCCATATCATATACTATCACGTCCAGCTTGACGGAAGGATGAATACCATAGACAGATCTCCTGTATTCCCAGCTGGAATATATCTTGCCACCAAAGGCGATGGCGTCGAACCAGTTACTCGCCCTCCTAGCCGGCGTCCTGTCCCATGTCCACTTTGCACGGCCAATATCCAGCTTAAAGATGACATCTCTCGAGTGTGACCAGGACTTGCCCGGAGACAAAGTCCACACGAAAACCATCCCGGACCACGCCACCATCTGTGCTCGGCCCACTGGGAGCCCTTCTATCGGTGGGAGCCTTCGCCATGACCCCTGTGATCTGTCCAAAATGAGAATTTGGAGTACCTTGGAGTCGTTTCCCAGGCTCACGAGTGGAGTGCCTTGGAGGAGCGGGAGCTGGAAGTTGCGAGTGGTGTTAAGGAGATGAGCGTCGTATTGAAGAGCGCTGTCCATTAGAGCTCTCCAGGAGTTGGAGACTGCTCGGCACACCGGACGAGTATACCATGGCAACCTCGGTAGGATGTTCTCAAGAGCAAGCTCATCGCAGAGACCGGGAATGAGATCGCTATCGCTCATATCGCTCTTATCCTGAAAGCGAGTGTTAAAAACGGCCAGATCAAGAAAGAGCTCACAACGCACTCACAGATCTTCCGCCTTAGACCGCTATACTTTGAGCACTATACTGCATCTGAAAAATCACAAGGAACAAGACGTGAGATAGAATACAAGAAAAAGAGGACAAACTTACATTGGTATAGCAGCGGCCAGCGGTGGAAAAACCGAGACAAAGAGGGACATCCTCATACTTATGTCATCCGAGTGAAGCAAGTGATCGCCACGGGAAAGCCAGCCACTGGTTCCCACACCATCCTCCTGCGTCCCACATCTATCTTTCCTTCGAAAATCTTGCAGCGTTTAATTTTCTTCGGATCGATCGACGTCGAGCCTGCGTACAGGACGCCCCGGATCACAAAAACCTTGAAACTCGCTGCTTCTTCGGGACTGTTCTCCGCAATCGCCATCCAAGTCTTTTGCACTGCCGAGTTATACCAGTGTATAGCATTGCCATCGAGGTAACCGTAAGTGATGGCATTGATTCCCAGCTTCACTGGAGGATCAAAGCAATCACCACTCACTACCGTGAGCGTCGAGTTCCTGTGCTCTGTCTGCCTTGGTATCTCCTCTTGCGGCTTCCACGTACTCGACGCAGCATCGTAACGCATAAGTTCCACTCTCTCCTTGTGCCACTGTAGACCATACAAGTTCTCGTCGCCAGCCGGCGAGAGCGCCACCGCAACGTTGGAAAAATTCCACTTTCCAATAGTGTTGTACGCGTCCACCTTCATATCAAATACTCTGACGTCCAGCTTGACAGGAGCACGGAGGCTGTAGGGAGATCCCCTGTTTTCCCAGGTCGAGTATATTTTGCCACTGAAAGCGATGGCGTCGAACCAGTTACTGGAGTTTTTGGCCGGAATCACGTCCCACGTCCACTTAGCACCACCGACGTCGAGCTTAAAGATGAGATCTCTCGAAGGTGACCAGCACTTGCCTGGTGCCAAAGTCCACACGAGAACCGTGCCGGACCATGCAACAATCTTTGCTCGTCCCTCGGGTAGATTCTCTATCGGCGGGAGCTTCCGCCACACCTGTGACCCCTGTGACCTGTCCGAAATGAGAGCTTCGAGTACCTCGTATTCGTTTCCCAGACAGACCACTGGAGCGTCTCGGAGCAGCGGGAGCTGGACGTCGCGAGTTCTGCTGATGAGATGATCGTCGCGTAGAGTGCTGTCCACGAGAGCTTTCCAGGAGCTGGAGACTGCTCGGCACACCGGCCGAGTGTACCAAGGTAGCCTTGGTAAGATGTTCTCAAGCACCAACTCGTCGAAGAGGTCGGGAATGAAATCCATTTTGTTGTTCGTTTGCGAGGCAATCTCCATTTATTGCTCCGCACTTGTGCACGATTTGTCAAACTTGTCGTCCAACTTGTCACCGTAGCGTTTCCGACAAGTGAAAAGCTTTCCTGAAAGCACATGTTATGAGACAGCAATTACGATTATCCACGCAAGTACTTACGAATCAGCGTGTGTTTCCGGCGCCTTTCGGTGTCGATACTCTCGTAGGCCACGTATCGGCCTTGAGCTCTCAAAGTGATAGCTATAAAAGTAAATTCAACATTATAGTAAGCCAATATAAAAGTCAGTGAAGATTTACGCGTATCTCTCTCGACGACGACGACGGACCTCAATTTGCTATCTGACCGCTACAGGCGGTTCGTCCTCTGGAATCTGGAGCAGCCAAGTTCCTCGTCTTAAAGCCTCAAAACAAAGTATGAGAGGATTTTTTACCTGGCCAAGCTCCCACTGCTCCACGCCCCACGTCGCAGTCTCTTCTGGAGTTCTGCATGTTGTTTTTAAGTAACAAACGTTTCAAAACCAAAACAAGAAGCTTTTACATTGGTAAAACAGCTGCGGTCGGAGGAGAAACTGATGCGACAAAATTCGTTAGAACCGAATGGATGATGTATTTGCTTAAGCTTACCAGAAGGCTGCTGGAATGGACTTTGGACAATCGCTGGAGCTGGCAGAGGACTGAAAGCATTTTGTATTGCATTATTGTTGCCGAAAGATGACACCGGATTGAAAGGAGATGGCTGCTGCACGGTGAATGGCGATGGACTTTGAGGATTTTGTGGAAAAACCGACTGAGCAGGGAAGGGGGAGGGTGATGGAAAGCTGAAAGCCGCTGGTTGGATCTGCTGAGGCGGAGAAATAACCGGTCCATTTCCAAATCCTCCCATGCTGTTACCGAGAGATAAAGTTGATGAAAACGTAGTAGCAAACATTACTTACTTGGTATCTTGCTTAAACATCTGAGATATAGGCGAGTTGTTTGGCACGAGCTTGCCAAAGATTGTACTTGACGCTAGTGGCGAAGGTTGGACATTGGAGAAGCCTTTGCTCGCTGGTCCTTTGTAAGGATCTCTCTTGAGGGCGTCAAATTCAGCCTCCTTGGCACGAAACATATATGCTTCCCTGCTCGTCTATGGTGCACGAATCAGTAACCCAGTTAAGAGAAGGAAAAAGCTTCGCTTACAATATCTCGGAGCGGCATTCCTTGTAGAGCAGATTCGTAAGCCATGGCTCGCAGCTCCTCAAAGCTTGTATCTCCAGAAATATCATTGGGAAGGCTAGAGAAGCAAAGAAAAAAGAGTTTTTTTCTTCCTTGAACAAAAGGAAGAAAAGGATGGAAGCGAACTTAACTGTTTCCAATGAGCGTAGCACGTCAAGCGCCAATAACTCGGCCTTTCATTCGTGAAATCATCTCGAATTCTCTCCTTGCATGCTCTTGGATCATTGCATCTATTGGAAGAAAAGAGAGAAAAAAAACAAAGCACGATTGAGTAAGAATCGAAAGAAACAGAGAAAAGTACCTGTGTTCTGGCGCTTGAACAGGTGCTTGAACAGCCTGATTTTGCCTCCCAAATCCCGGCTGAAAGAGCTCGATCAAAACCAAAACATCTCTTCAATCGGATGCTACAAATCTACCTGTTGCTGGTGGAGAAATTTGCAATGCGCACCGAACCGGCAGCTGGAAAGACGAGAAATCAAGCCTATATCGACCAAATCGAGCTCTTCACTTACGTCCCGCGCTGGAAATCTCGACAGACGACATCCTGCCTTCGAGCCATTCCCAAGAACCCTAAAAGAAGAACCAAAGAATATTCTGGGTTCAGGGTTTAGGGCTTGGGCATGGAGGACGATTTGAACGGAGGTAAGAGCGAAATGTGTGAAGCTATGGCGCATTCTTGTGACGCATTCCACTCGCAGATCCATCTCCCGCGCCTCGGAAATCTCCCGAGACGTTCCAATCGCTGCACGACGGCCACAATCCATCCGGCGGGCACGAAGGTGAGGAGAAACGAATTGGCGCATTCTTTTTCACGATTTGAATGCGCAGGAGCCGAGTCTTTCGAATCGCTGCTGGACGGATTTTGGGACAAGAATCGATCAACGCTCGAAGGCATCGTGAGCGATCCTCCGATATTCTACCAGAAGTATCCCAATGTGGACGTGGAAGTGGCGTCCTTTAGCACTCCGGCCAAGGCGGTGCCCAGCCTTCTCCATCACAGGCTCGAGGATTCGAGAAACGATGGGACGCTGGCCACCGAGATCGTTGCTCGACTCCGAGAGGCTGCTACAAATCACTGCGTTTTCCTCGTCGGTGGAAAGGGGTGTGGAAAGACGAGAACTCTCTACGAAGTCCTGGCACAGAACTTTGGATTCTACTTCGTGGCCTCGCGGGTAGAGAACGGTGAATCCAAGGACTTCGCAGCGGTCGTAGAGACGCTCAAGCTTTGCTACCCGAGTCACAACAAGGCCACCGAGTTTATCCCCCGACGAGTTGGCATGGATGTGGCACTGTGTGCTTTGGTGGCGAGGTTGGCCATCTTTTCGAAGGTTCTGGAGATCAAGCCGGGGATCTCGCCGCTGGAGTGGTTGATTTGCCAGACTGAGTGCCGGCCTCGAGACGTGTTCCGGGAGTTGACGCTGTTCGTGATCAAGCAAGAGTTGCCGAGCGCGTACCTGGAAGAGAAGTTCTCGGCTCTCGTCCAAGAAGCTTACGAGAGGATCGATGGTGGTCTAGCAGGCAGCAGCGGGAAGCTGCTGTTTGTGGTGGACGAGGCACTGCTGTCGCTCAGGAACAGGTTTAGATCCGACATCCACCTGGCGAAGCTCAAGAGTTTGCTCTCGCAGGCCGTCAAGGCGTTTAGAACGCAGAAGAAGGTTCCAACAGCGTGCATTCTAGCTGGAACGGGGGGAGAACTTCTCGCGGAGGCTCAGGATATGGAATTGCCGGTTTGCAGAGGGGAGTCCGAGCAGCTCACGTAGGAAATAGTCGCTACTAGCCAAACTTTTGAAGATTCCAGCAGCTTTGGAGCCTTCTCGGACTATGTGTCCAGCTTTTTGGGGCCCGGCAACTACAAAAGGCTGTTTTCCAAGTACTACCAGGCCCGTGCTGGCACAATCGCTAGTGCTCTGCACGCATACATCAGCAAGTGTACCCCGAGAGAGAAGGCTTTGGAATTTCTGGAGGGCTTCGCATTAACACTTGCAACCAAAGGTGGCAGCCAGCTAAATGCACCAAATTCTGTCCATGACACATTGATGATCCTGCGCTTGGACCGTTACCTGCAGAGTGTCCTTAGAGACACTATAGAGGCATTCTACATGGGTGGGAAAGGCTATTGTTTCACGCACAACTCGTCAATCAAGCTTGGGGACTTGGGGATTGGCGTGTTAAAGCTGGGATTTTGTGACTCCAATCCTCTCAAGATTGATGGACCCAAGATGGATCCGAAATAGAATCTAAGATGGACTTGAGATGGAGTTTGAGATGGATTTGAAATGGAGTCCGAGATGGACTTGAGATGGAGTCCGAGATAGACCCGAGAAAGAATCCGAGATGGACCCGAGATGGACTCAAGAAAGAGTCTGAGATGGACTCGAGAAAGAGTCCGAGATGGAGTCTAAAATGGACTTGAGATGGAGTCCGAGATGGAGTCCGAGATGGAACTGAGACCAAGATCGAGATTGAGACCAAGACCAAGATCGAGATCAAGTCTGAGTCTGAGTCCAAGCCTGAGTCTGAATTCTAATACAAATTGTTGGGTGAAAGCCCAAAGCAATCGTCCCCTAGAGGGGCTGCAGGGGTTCCAAAAGTATAGTAAGGAAAGTGTGGGGGTTGGATCCCAATGGAGCCAATTTGGCCAAGAAAGGTCAATAGGAAGATTATACCCAAGTGTTGGGTGAGGATATATTCACTGAAGAGTCCAAGGCTAAAGTGAATACAAATTGACAGATGAGGTAACTTGGTGAAGTGTTCAAGAACTAGCTCTAATTCCCCTAGAAGATTGAAAGGTCGATGCTCCCAATTTAAGTGTAGGTGGCATTACCTATTTGGATACTTAGCATGGCTCAACGAAACCTCGCTCTAAGCCCGTGGCTAGAGCACCCAAAGGCAAAAGGTGGGGAGGGTACCCATGAGGCTTGTGTGGGGCCACGATGTTCCGAAATGTTGTCCCAAAGTCCCAAACTATGGAAAGGAAGAAGGGCAATCCTCTGGTGTAATGACCAAGGTTACGGTCATATGGTGTGGAAGTCCCAAAGGATAGTGGGATGTAGTGGTCAGGCTTGTGGGCCTTAACTCAATGGCAGTATCAGTGAACATAGCCATGGACAGAAAGGGACTTAGTGGGGACTGACAGAGGGATATTAGAAAAGGCTATTCCTGATGTTTGCAGGCATCCTAAGGATGCTAAGGAGTGGATCTGGGATGACCACTCATGGACGGATGGCTCAATTTTTGAGAGATGGGATTGTGATGCAAGTGGTGTTGGACCACCAGTGTGGCAAAGGTGATTGAGCATGGCCTTAGCGTAACAGGCTGCTATATCGGTGGTACCTTTGAGTGTCGGTCATGGGATCGAACACATGGAGCACTTGGACCAGGTGCAAGGGTTGAGTGGCATGGATGCCATTCTTGGGGCTAGCAAGTCCCAAGTCCTGGATTGGACTTATGGAGGTTGTGAATGAGACTCCTCCAAGTGGTCGGAGGTGTGGTTAAGAGAATGGAAAATTTAGTCGCTTACAACTTGGTATCGGAGCTGTTCCTTAGTCCGACTTTTATTGGTGCTCAAGTATATCACCATTGATGTTGGCATCGGAAGGTCCTAGGAGTGGGCTTTTCTTTGAGGAGTAGCATGTCGAGAGGACATGGCTCTCCACTCAAGTTCATGCGTGAACTTGGGCACGATATAGTGGATAGAAAAGGGCCAACTATGGAACGACTTTGGGATCTTGGGAACAGTATGTGGTTTTCCTTAGAGAGTTGAGGATGTGATCCAGATGAGCGTTTGACTTAGCAAACTGGCTAAGGTAGTTGTGGTAAACAACTATAGTTGGGATCACAGGAAAGATAAAGACTCCAAAACAATAAAGGAGTCACAAGATTATCCTCACATAGTTGAGGTTGGTGCTCATGAATGTGAGACCAAAAGTAATGACCGTGGGAGGTCAAATACGGAAGAGGGCTCAAGTCCTTGAAATGGTAGCCGGGGCTACCTTTAATAAATGCTGGAACAACCTAAGGAGTTGGGGGGTGTACTTAGAGATGAGTTGGGATTCTCATCACATGGACAAGTAGTCCTAAGGGGCAAAGGTTGCCCCAGAGAACAAAATCAAGTGTTAGAGTAACACTTGTGAAAATAGTCCTTGTGAGTGAGGACATGAATGCAAGAAGTGTATTCCAATGAGCTAATGCTCGACAAGTAGGACCTTACGGGTCTGTGGATTAACCAAGTCCAAAATTGCTGGATGACTCAAGTAGAGTCAAGGAATGGTCCTAAAGGACTGATGGAAGCATTCGGACTGAAGTGTGTGGTACCCCACGAAGGATGGGGGGGATCATAGGATCCGAGGATGAGAACAGGGGGTATCTCATCGATGGCAAAATGTGCCATGCTAAAGTCGTGGGAAGGGTGTTCCCAAAAGAAAACAACTTTGAAACAAAGTTGTGTGTGACCTCTATGATGCAGTGCTAACAGATGGTTGGCATGAGAAAGGGTGGTATTGGCCTTGGCAAAGACTTAGACACAAAGAAGAAGTGTCATAGAGGTAGGCTCCTAGAGCCAATGGTGTGGAGACACCAAATGTGCCAAGGTGTGATACCTTGAGGCTATGTTGGTGGGTTCATGAGAACCCCTTGCCAAAGGAATCCCAATGGAAATGGGAATGGCATAGCCTAAGCTGCAGAGCATGCAGTTGGAGTGTGGTGACCCAGATAATGATGGAGGTGTGGAAGCACCAGCAATGAGTTGTAGGACTTAACAACTATAAGGCAACTAAGCAAGAGGTGCAAAATAATTGGTTAAACGGGTAGAAGGTAGCTACCCAAGCCTTCTTAATGGCATAAGGAAATTGGATATACCCTTACGGGGGATAAGTTGCTTATGTTGCGATATAGTAAGTTAATGTCATGAAAGGAAATACTCATTGTCAAGGAAGCCGTCATTGGGACACCTGAACACTCTAGAACACCAGAAGGTGGTATTTGATGTCGTGAGGGCAATAGATAAGGCCCAAGGGACTAAGTCCCTAGCGAATGATGGATAGAAGGTGCTATCCAAATGTCCAAGGTGGCGGAGACAGGAGAAGACTATCTACTCGAATTGGACAAAGCCAAAAATGGAATTTTGGCAAGGCTAGCGATGGGCATGTAAAGGCCCATAAGCAACAACGTAATCTCGGTGTGTGGGATTATAGGGTGAGCATACCTGGATTGAGGAACCACTCCCTAGGCTATCGGGTAGGTTCATCCCTAAGAATACTTGCTAAGGCATGATAGAAAGTGCAAAGCTATCCTCCTGGTCTGGAGGAGAATGACCGAAGGAAAAGTGTCAAGCCAAAAGCAAGAAGTATGGGGGGTAGAACCAGACCATAGGAATCGAAAGGCATAACCAAGGTTGGTTATGCCAGTTGGGAGTGGAGAATCAAGTGGGGGCTCGAGGGTGTTGCCGCTAGCAACCATGATGCCATGGAGAGTCTAAAATATGGAATTGTCCATGTTAGACTACATGGTAATTGGAAAGCTTGCAAAAAGGGAGGCCTTAGCAAGCTAAGGGACAGAGTTCCCAAAGATGATTCTAGGTAGCTTAGTACCTAGAAAAGCCAAGCATAAATGGTTCAAAGAACGCGCGAAATCAGAGTGGCGCAGCAGAAGCGTGGTCTTGAAGCTTGCCATGAGGCAAGGCTATCAAGGTTAGGGAAGTAGTTCCCGAGTGTTCAAAGAGAGGGCTTTGAACGAAAGTCGATGATCAAGGGCTTTCACGCTTATGCAGGAACCATGTTACAGTGGTCGGAGGACTTGCCAAAGCGAGATTGGCAAGTCAGGGGAACAAATACCCTAGTTGAAGGTGATAACTTAAAAAAGGGTGGGCCATGGGGCCAAGCATAGAGGAGTCCATGCATGATCATAGACTTGTCAAGTAAGAGGACTTGGCAGTGTGGAGGAACTAGGTTCCTAAGCTGTGATCTATAGCACGCTTTGAGTATAAGTTGGTGCACTGGTGTGGGGAGTCACGCCAGGCATCCTGGGTGATGCCGTCCGTAGATGCATATACGGAGGTTGGGTTTGAGTCCCGACCCTCTAGTGCTTGGGTTCGAGTCCCAAATCACTAGGGCGTGATGATGGTTTGGAATATGAGGACACTCATATTTCGGTGGTCATGGACTCTCAGTGAGGAGACTGGTTTGGGCACACCGCCAAGCGAGGGATGCTTCGGAGTTGTGATGCACGGTTAGATTGTTTAGTGTGGCTCAGCATATCTAACTTGACCACCTTGGTGCAAGTGACACCAAGGACGTGGTGAATGAGATGGGGACACCAGTCTCAGTTGCTATGGACCCTTGGCCGGAAGGGCTAGCTTGGGTGCACCGCCAAGTGTGGGGGATGCCCCCGGGGTCATAGTCAACAACTTAGTAAGGTCTGGAAGACCTAATTCCTATTGGTAGACCTATTAAGGGGTCAAGATGAGATCACTGGGTGATCTTATGGCTAAACAAGGGCAAGGTCTTTGTTTGGGTTAAGGAATATGACTCCTAGTTCAAAGTGTTGATTTGAACTATTGATAAAGGTGTGGCTTGGTCAAAGTGACTAAGTGGGAAGGACACCTAAGGGAAATGAACTACTACAATACAATGGTATTATGAGTTCAAGAAAATAGTCTCCAGAGACAAGCCCATGGGTGGGTCACAAGGTTGGGCTAGGAAGAGAGCCTAGAACAATTGGGGAGACTTACTAGGGGTGAACACCCTAGTCTGGGCAAAGCAAATCCTTTGCTATGGAACCAAAAGAATACCTCTAGGAGGGAGGTAATGATCCTATGTTACTTGGTGCAACAATCCAAGGATAGGAGCAAAAGACGAGTGCCCAAGATAGGGCCGTGGAATCCATTGGAAAGAGTCCAAGTGGCAAAGTTAGCCAAGGAACACTAATGTGTTTGATGCTAACGGATTGCGGAAAAAGAAGTGGACTTCCAAGGATGGATTCCCAAGTGCTCCAATTTGGCAAAGGAAAGGCTCCAAGTGAGGGAGCAACTAAAGAGCCAAAAGATAGAGCCGTGGACAGCCCTAGCACAAATAATGATAAATGAAACGTAATGCCAATGGTGGCACAAAAATAGAAAAGAGGATGAGGGTGCCCTCGAGTAGAGAATTTCCTAGCAGGGGAAGTGGAGTTGCACAAAATGTGCAAGGCAAGGTGTCAGAGACACCTAGGAAATTGACTTCAAGAAGTCAAAAGTAAACGTTCCAAAGTGCAAAGGTAGATCAAT